ATAAGCAAACAGGAATAATCACAAAATAAATAAATAAATAAGAAGAAGACACATTTTCAAAATACATTAAAAAAGGATGAAAGAAAGCTAATGAGAAAAAGAGAAAAAGAAAGCCACACTATCTGGAGAGGGAAGAATGAGAGAAAAGAGCACTAGTAATAGGAAAACTGCAAAAGGATAAACAAGGGATGGGAAGAACTAGAAGAAAGAAAAGGGAACAAGACAAAGGGATGAGAAAAACAAACAAACAACCAACTAAGAACCAGACACAGGAAAGAGGAAAAAAAAGCAAGAAAGGAGGAAGATAAGAATAATTTAAGAACAAAACTGTGGAGGACAGGCTATGGCACCCAGGCTCTGCCAGGGCACTGACTGGGGTGGAACCCCCATAGGTCAAGAAGGTGGGTGGAGGTGGGGATGGCCTCATCTCTTTTCCCCAAGAGGGTGTTGAGTATAAGAGTAACAAGGGTAGTATTGCACCTCTCAGTCCTCTGCCTCCAGTGAGGTTACTCATGCTGTCCTCAGCAAGTGGAGCCCACTTCCAGGTCACAATCCAAGCAAGAAGGCCACCCACATACCCTCCAAACAGCTATGCCACCTCCTTGCAAATATCCAAAATGGCTGTACCCTCAGGACGGCCACTGGCAGACCACAAGTCTGCCTGTCACCTTCCTAGCTGTTCTTCCTTGTAGGCATCAAGCACCAGTGCAGTCCCTGCCTGTCCAGTCCTTCATGACTGATGGCTATTGGAAATTATTCAAAATGGCAGTGCCCTCAGAACAGTTGGCAATCTGTTGCTCTGTTTGTCTTCTTACTCAGTGTTTCACGTAGGTTCTTCTTCTAGTTGGTATTTAATCCACTTCTTTATCCTTCCCTTCAAAGCTCAGGGTTCCAGGATTGTCTTCTATATCACTTTCAAGTAGTTTCTCATTGCTTTGTTGCAGAGGGTTCCTGTAGCTTGTCTGCCTATTCTGCCATTTTGCCGGAACTGGCAACACATTAGTCATTCTTATTAATTAGATTGTGAATTTGGAGTACTGCCTATTCAGAGTGACCTACTGCATTTTTCCCCCACAAATAATGCGCCCATGTAAATAACACACCCACACATATAACACACATAACATGCATAGTAAAATCACACATGAGGGTATTGCATACTTGGCAAAAAAAATCGTATGTGTGTTATTTGCAAAGAAATACAGCACTTAAATTTTCTCAGCTTCAGTTTCCAAATATGTAAAATGTGAACAATAGATATAACAGTGTTATGATGATTCTCAAAATTTAAGTAAAGTTCTATGCAAATGATAAAGTGAGCTGTTGGATAACTGGTATTGTTTTGGCCCACCGAGAGAAAAGCACATGAAGGTACAGAAAATAGGGACTTTGAAATTCTTGTCCTGTCTCTTCTGGGAGTTAGGAGATATTAGTTTATATTTACTTTTCTGAATTAGCTATTATGGCTAATAACATATGTATTAGACGGACTATCTTTAAGATACTTTGTTGTTGTTGTTATGTGCCATCGAGTCGCATCCGACGCATAGCGACTCCTCCTTGGATTTCTGAGGCAGTAGCAGTACAAAAGTAGATTGCCCAACCTTCCTTCCACGGAATGGCTGGTGGGTTTGAACTGCCAGCCTTCTGGTTAGCATTCAAGTGCCTTAGGCACTACACTACTGGAGCTCCCTAAGATACTTTAGAAAATGTAAAAATTAAGTTTAGTAGGGTGAAAAATTCACTTACGTGGAACTCAGTCTGTTGTGATGTTTGATGTTGTTATTGTATATTGTCATAGACTTAAATGTGAAACTACTACTTTTTTTTTTTTTTTAAAATGAGTACTAGGGAGTCTCTGAGTGATGCAGTGGTTAGGCACTCAATTCCTAGCCGGAAGTTTGGTGTTTTGAACCCACCCAGAGGTGCCTCTAAAGATAGAGCTGCAGTCTGCCTCCAAAAGGTCACAACCTTGAAACCCTGTGGTGCAGTTCTACTCTGCATATATAGATTACCTTGACTTGGAATTGTCTTGACAGCAACTAAAAAAAACAACATTCACTGAAAACTTCATCTTTCCCTGCTAAACTACCAAAAAAAAAAAAAAAGAAAATTGATTCTTGGCATTTCATGTTTTTGGAAGTTTTAGCAGAACTAATTGGTATAATTGAATTTATGCATTGTTGTAGTCTGCTTTTTCTGATAATTTTGTTCCTCATATGGTTGATAGAAGAGTTCGGGTGATTAGAAAGAAACCAATAAATGGTCCACATAATTATGGTGTTAAGTAAACTTGATGCGTAAATTGTTTTCATTATATGTGCTCACAGATTAAAAAGGTAATCTTAAACTTTGTGTTTACATAAACAGGGAGGGCTTGATTGGCATTTTCAGTAGCTAACGTGCAGTGTTTGAACTCTGATGTGCAGAAATGATTCTGAGCATAAGTGGAATACTGTTGGCTCAAAACAGGAAGCAAATAAAAAAATAAATGGTAATCTCTTCTTCATTGTAAATATTTGGTTTTCACTACTTCCTCCTCCCACCTTTGCAATTTCTTAACTATTACTGATGGCTCTGATGTCGAAGTCTGCCTGACGTTGGCCTGCCTGATCCCAAAGCCTGTAGTCACAACTATTTTATCAGGCTGTCTCTTTTTAAAACCTTTTGTCACTATGATATACTATGGTTTTTTTGTATTTGCAATGTTTTCTAATAGATACATATTATATAGATTTCCCCCCTCATTTTATGAATTTTAGTGGTAAAAGACACTACTAAAGGTATGTCTTGAATGGAAGCCCTATGAGGGTTTGCGATCTATTAAGATTCCCAGCTTGAGTCTTAGCTCTACCATTTCGTCTTCTATGACATTGGGCAGCTCCCTAAATCTCTAAGGTGTTTCCTTATCTGATAAATGAAGACAGTCATTTCATTATACAGTTGTCGAATGAGTGATATATTTCATATCTAGCCTACTGATTTCAGAAACTTTGTTTTAAAAAAGAAGGTGGCATTTTGAAATTTTAATTTTTTTCCCTCTAGATAACAGATAAAAGAGTATCCAGAAGACATGCCATTCTTGAGGTGGTGGGTGGTCAGCTTCGAATCAAACCGGTAAATATGTTAATTGGTTTATTATATCTTACCCTTTTTAGTTCTTGATTCATTATTTTCTAAGGTTATAGAAATAGGGAATTAATGTTAGAATATAGTCTTCTCATTGCCAGACAATAATTGGATGGTAAAGATGTAGATTATTTTAATTTCCTGTTTTCCCATTGAACACTGCTACATTTCCATGGTTAGAATTTTAATAAAAGATGATTACCAGTTTACATTACCATTTTGTTCAAAACAAGACATTGCAATATAAGAAAGCCTATAAGAAAGCCCATGACTTATTTAGTGGTTGATTTTTCAGGGTAGGCAGAGGGTCAAAGTCACTTAAGAGTTATTTCTTACTTATTTATTACTTACATATATAAGTAATCTCTATACTTATATATGTAGAGTTGCATATTTCTAAAATTTAGAACTAGTTTTAGAATTTCAAAAATAATTTGAATATTTTTTTTGAAGCTAGAACTTTAAATGCTTGTTTTATAGTTTAAATGCTAAGTGATTTTTCTTTTCCTTTTGGATAATCTGTTGTGTAGGAGAATGAAAAATGTATGAGGGGCCATTTATTTTGGACTAGATGGTTGTGGTAAAATTATTGTCATGCAACTAAATTCATTAATTTATTTTCAACATTCTTCATTCTTGCACCTCTTTGTATTTTCATCTTATATGTAGTAGCTCTTTATTTTATCAGGTAGTACTTCCTTTTACTATTCTATGCTGACTGGTTCCCAAATTTGACAAGTATCCTTTTAACTTTAGTATTGGAAAAAATTTCAAACAAAGCTGAACTCATCCCATTTGAACTTTGAATAAATACATATATTTTTTGACATGGGTCAATGCCCTTTTTTGTTTTTTGCAGTGTTCCCTCCCCTCCCCTCCCATCCCTGGTAACCAACAAAGAAAGTTTCCTTCCATATATAAACACTTCCTTGACTTTTTACAATAATGAACTAATACAATATTTGTCCTTCTGTGATTGACTTATTTCACTCAGCATAATGTCCTCCAAGTTATCCATGTTATGTGCTGTTCTGCAGATTCTACGTTACTGTTCAGTGTTATAGTATTCCATTGTGTGTATGTACCACAGTTTGCTTATCTATTCTTCTGTTGATGGGCAACTAGGTGGTTTCCATCTTTTTGCTATTGTGCATAGTGCTGTGGTGAACATGGATGTGCATATCTGTTCTTGTCCTGGCTTTCACTTCTTTAGGATATGTACCTACTAAGAGGATTGCAGGGTCAAATGGTATTTCTGATTCCAACTTCTTAAGGATCACCCTACTGCTTTCTACAGTGGTTGTATCATTTGACAGTCTCACCAGCAGTGTGTGAGAGTCCCAATCTCTCCACATCCTCACCAGCACTTGATATTTTCTGTCTTGTTGAGCTTTGCCATTGGGGCTAGGGGGAGATGGTATCTCATTGTTGTTTTGATTTGCATCACTGTAATGGCTAATGATTGTGAGCATTTATTCATATATCTGCTGGCCTTCTGAATATCCTCTTTGGTGAAGTGTCTTGAATAAATATTTTAAAAAAAGATTTTGTTCTCACATTCTCATTTTGCAGTTGTCATCATCTCTTGTAAATTATTTATGTTTGTAGCCAGCACTTCATTGAGAATCTCTTTATTTCCTGTCAGTTATTTCTCTTGGGTTCTCCCTCAAATATCTTACTCCTTTTAGAAGAGACTTACAGATCATAAGCTCCTTGAGTATAGGAACTCTAACTTATCTTTATATCCCTAGTATCTATCATAATGCCTAGCACATAGAAGTATTTGTTGAATGCTTGAATAAATGCTTCAGTGAGAACTGTATATGGCCTTTTTAGGATTGAGGACTGTGATGGTTAAGGTTATGTGTCAACATGCCTAGGCCATGATTCTCAGTGGTTTGGAAGATACTGTGTAACCATCCTCCTTTTGTGATCTGATGTGAGCAGCCATTCAGTTGAAAGGGGAGTTTCCTTGGGGTTGTGGCCTGCATCCAGTATATATGCGTGTTCTGGCAAAGTGACCTCTCTCTCAGTTCTGCATTTGATCCTGCATTCATCTTGTCTTCCTCTGACCTCTGGTTCTTGGGAAGTGAGCCAACAGCCTGTTGCATGCCCTGCATATTTTGGATTTGCCAGGATCCACAACTCTGTGAACCCACAACTCCATGAGCTGGAAGCCTACCTCCTGCCCTGCAAATTTTGGTTTGTCAGCCCCTGCTATCACTTGTGTCAGGAGAAGCCTCCAGCCTGCCAGTGACCAATGGATTTGGGACTCGCCAGCCTCTACAATTGCATGAGCCATTTCCTTGTAATAGATCTCTCTCTATATACTTATATGTATGCCTCGCTGGTTTTCTTCTCTAGAGAACCCAGCCTAAGACAGGGACATACTGGAATTTTGCAAAATTGTGTTATTTTTCAGTAGCTAATTTCTTAATACCTTTCAAATGAACCACCATGGCCTAAAATAAAGAAATTATTTTTGTTGCTGTTACTGGACTCCTGAAGGACATTAGAGGAAGAGTATAGGGATTTTTAAATTCCTAATCTGTCTTTTCTTCCAGAGCTAGCATTATGTATCAGTAGAGAAGACAGCAATTTTTGAAATAAATGGTATTGGCACAGTTTGGGAAAATTGTTTGGGATAAAAGAAATTAGACCTCTACTTCAAGCCCTACCACCAAATCAATTCCACATAAATGTGAAAGTCAAAACTATAAACCTGTTAGAAAATAATATAGGAAAAGACCTTTATGACCTTAAGGTAGATAGGAAAGAATTTTTATTTATTATTATTATTATTTATTTATTGTTTTAATCATGCCTTGGGTGCAAATTTACAAAGCACATTTGTTTTACATTCAGCAGTTCATGCACATTTGACTTCACAGCCCTGATTACCATCCCCAACCATAAAAAACTCTCTTTCCCTCTCGTCCCTGTGAGTACCCCCACCTGTGCCCTTCTTATCTATGCATTCTTGTCTGTCCAGCTTTCCCTGTATGTGAATACTGCCCCTCTGGTGTCTCATGGCTGATTGATCTAAGGGGTACATCTCCCTCGAGTAGGTGAGTGCATTGCTTTAGGATAGGTGTTCCGTATGTAGGTCTTTCTACTGTTGGGCTGAGAGCCAATCCATGTAAGTGAGTCCATTTCTAGGCCTGAAGGGTAACTGAGGACCATAGTCTTGAGGGTTCCATCAGTCTCTATCCAACCAGTAATTCTGGTCATTTTTGTGTTTTTGAATTTTGTTCCACATTTTTCCTTCCACTTTATCCAGATCTGCAGTTTTGATCCCTTTCCAAGAGGTTGGCATTGGTAGCTGGACACCATCCAGTTCTTCTGGTCTTGGGGTTGTGAAGGCTGAGGTCCTCGTGGTCCACCTTATCTTTGGACTAATTGTTTCCAGATGCCTTTGATTTTCTTCACTCTTCTTTGCTCCAGATGAGAGGAGACCAATAGTTGCATCTTGTATGGCTGCTCAAAAGCTTTTAAGATCCCAGTTGCTACTCACCAAAGTAGGTTGTAGAACATTTTTATGTACTGTGTTGTGCCAGTTGAGCATGATGTCCCCTGAGACTATGGTCCTGAGTCCACAGGTCCAGTGATTCTCTCTCACAAGGTGTTTGGTTGTCTTTGAGAAGTTATTCCAACCCTGTCTTCTGTTGTTTCTGTAATGTATATGGCTAATTTTGTAGCACAAGTGCATATATAAGATTATCCTCAGCCAAATATATCCTTAGTTTTGGGTATATTCCTCTTTGCCTACTTCTACCTGATTTTCTCACCTATCTATGCATTTATCTGTAGCCTAATGTTTGGTGCTAGTGGAAGTGCAGTATTGTGCATGTAATAGTATTTGCCGCTGTTGTCTGTATCTTTTATGCATGTTTCTGTGTCTTTCCTTTCCCCATTGTCACAATGCTGGTCACAAACTCATTCCATACTGCCCCTCCCCTCACCAAATCAACATATGACCCCCAACTGGTCTGAGATTTCCCCTCCCTTTCCCTCCCGTCCCTGGTAGCCAACAAAGTGAATTTGCTTCCTTATGTAGACCTCTCCTTGACTTTTTGCAATAATGGGCTCGTAAAATATTTGTCCTTCTGTGATTGACTTACTCAGCATAATGTTCTCCAAATTCATCCACATTGTGAGACAATTCTTGTATTCTTCATTATTCTTTAATTGCATAGTATTTCATTGTGTGAATGTACCATAGTTTGGTTATCCAATCATCTGTTGAAGGGCATTAAGGTTGTTTCCATCTCTTTGCTATTGTGAATTGTGCTGTGATGAACATGGGTGTTCATCTGTTTGTTCATGTCCTGTCTCTCACCTCTTTAGGATATATTCCTAGTAATGGAATTGCTGGATCAAATGGTATTTCTACTTTTAGTTTTTTTAAGTTTTTTAACCATTTTCCACAATGGTTTTACCATTTTGCAGTCCCACCCATAGTGTTTGAGAGTTCCAAACTCTCTGCAGTCTCACCAGCAGTTGTTATTTTCTGTTTTGTTGAGCTTTGCTATTATTGCTGAGGTGTTTATTTCTCTGTCTTGTTGCCTTGTTGATCTGGTTAGGACTTCCAATACAATGCTGATAGAGGGCATCCTTGTCTGGTTCCTGTTCACAAGGGAATGCTTTGAGTCCTTCTCCATTAACAATAATGTAGGATGTTGGTTTTGCGTATATGCTCTTTATTATGTTGAGGATTTTTCCCTTCTATCCCTAGAGCTGGGGTAGCTCTTTTTTAAGGCTGGGGCCCAAGGTACACAGGCACAGAGTGGTTAGGAACAGCTAAGGGAGATGAACTTGTCTATCAGTTTGTCGTCCTGAGGTGGCCTGCATGTTGCTGTGAGGCTGGAGGCTATGCCAGTGGTGCTGCAAATGCCAGCAGAGGTACCCAAGTAGACAGGTTTCAGCAGAGCTTCTGGGCTAAGACAGACTTGGAAGAAGGAAGAGGCTATCTACTTCTCAAACAATTG